TCTAAATACACTAAACCAAACAAGAACAAAAAGATAAATGCAAAGTACTGTTTTTTATACAAACTTTTAAAGTTGTTATCTAAGTAATGTATACAGTCAAATTTATTTTAGGGAACTAATATTTACAAAAGAAGTAACGATGATATAAATAGAAGGAAAATAAAAAAAGGAAATAGAAAAAAATCACACGTTTAGATGAGTATATATATATATATAAAGACTTAGTATTAATTAAAAATATATAGCTTAAAAGTTCTGATTTTTTTATATTATTTTTTTTTTAATATAAAATTGTTTATAAAAAAAAATGTTTTTTTCCCCCCTTAAGGATCCCACTCCCCTTGTGTCCTTTAAACCACGAGAGGCCAAACTGAATGTTTATCACGTTACATAGCCAGATTTCGCCAAAATATAAATTGTGGTACCAAACAAGACCAGATTTGAGCATACGTGGAAAAAAGTGTGTGGGATAAATTGGGTAGAAGAAAACGTCTTCGTGGGTGAACTGCCAAAACCAGAAGAGACTTGGAAGTAGGGCTTCTATAAAGACAGAATCTAATTTAAGATTTGTTTAGGAAGCAAAAGCTAGTCTGATTATTAGAGAAAAGAAATTTCTAGGGTGCATGATTTTCAACACTGAAAAGGCTGTATTCACACCCGGCAAAATCCACACATGATTGATAATGATATGCACAGTATCATGACTCGTAGCACAATCTCTAGCCTCCATCAGTCTCAACTCTCAACCTCTTCTATTACTGGAACACAGACAGTAAACTTAGGACCCACAAACCTTACTAATCGCGCGTACAATACTTGCCTCACTAGCCCAATCGTATGTATACAAGAATGGAAAATGATTGTTATGCATCTCATGAGTGTATATATATCCAGTTTGAAATAAAAAATGTAATAGGAAGAGAGACAGAGAAAAACGAAATAAATAAAAAGACACATATTATATATTCAACTGTATAAAAATCAACATTCAACAAAAATGCACGAGGCAATATTAAGTTTGGCGTTGCATGGAAGGAGAGGGCAACTTTGAGTTTGCAACTTGCAAGTGCATGAAAATGAATTTTTGAGGGAAAAGCAGAAGCCAACACCACATTAGCTGAATTCTGTGAATCACACCAAGCCGATTAATGATCAATCAGACAATCACACGGCTTTCACTAGTGCGATTTTCATTAGTTCCAATGCTTTAAAAAGTAGTATGAAACAAAGTGGCCTTTTTGATTTGGTGGCTCTCATAAGACCTACAAATTACTGTGCATTGAGTAGAACAAGGATTACATAACGAGAGAAAAACAAAAGAGAAAGTAATAGATAAATTGAAAAAAAATAAAAGGACTTGATTTGATTAGGTGAGAGGCTTCGTCTGACAGCGCATAACACCTAGTGCTTCCTTTTTTTCTCTCTTTTCTAACGAGCAAGTGCTATCAAAATCCAAAGAATAAGCAAAAGTTACGGGGAAATAGAATCTTGACGAGGGCTTTCTTTTCCATTGCTTTATTTCTAAAGGCACAATTACAGCTCAGTGATACCAAAAATGAAGTCCCTTGTTTTGGCCGGAAGAGAATTGATATTACTATGCCTAGTACTTAGCAGATTTGGGGATATGCTAAGGCTTCACAAACTTGCATTTTAAGCACATCTACATGTTTTTGCATTTTTCTTGTTTTTGATTGCATTAAAGTAAAATCAAGTTTAAACCTAAAAGCATTTTTCTTTTGGAGTGAAAAAAATATAACTTTTGCGTTGAATTGATAATTTCAACCGATGTTTTACTCCAAACTTGATAATTTGGCTATAAGTTTCCCTAACACAAGTCTCTTTATCTCTAACTTAATTTTAAAATTAATTTTGCAAAATCAATAAGCCTTAAATTTGTCATCATAAGACCGAAAAATCATTGCCGAACACAAAAACAAAGAATGAAAGAAAGTAAGAGTGAAAAATGAACAGTTAAATATGAATATTTCTTGTCCAAATATAAACTTATTTCCTAGATGAGTCCATCAATGATATACATTAATGTTTTCAAAGCATAACATGGTGGGTCTCCTGCCAAGCATTTGCCACTCCTTACTCCAAACCAAAACAATGAAAATAAAAAGGAATGAATCCAATACCTATAGCCACTATTATCCTTTAATGAAATGAAAAATGATAATTAACGAGATCGGTACACCATGAGACAGACAGTACTAGTCTAAGACAACCCCCCCCCCTCCCCAAATTTTTTTCTTCAACCATAATCCTTTTCTTGTGGATGTTATATTTATTTTTCAAACTCATTGTTTACCAATGACCATTCCTTTGGTTCCCTCGTTAAGCATCCAAAGAAAAAGAAATTTACTGCATTTCGTTCATTCTCTTCCCATTCTATTACTTTGTAAATCATTCTATACCATGCCAACCACCCAAAAACTACCACCAATAGTCCTTCTCTTTTCCATGAACAATTACATCACAATAGGTCATTTACATATAAGAAAACTTCACACATTTCTTAGAGGATTATATTTCCATGAATTATTGACAAATATTGGACAATACTTATCTGAATCCAGAGGAGAATTTATGACTCAATTGTGTCGTCTAGTAGTGTACTTACAAAATTGTAAATAAATTTATAGGACAATGTTAAATTGTTTCCCATACCATACTTTTCTGACCAGGGTCTCAAGACTGCTCGATCGAGAGCTTCTAGAACAGTTAGACAGGGTTAGGTACCTGAGAAAGACACTTTGATACTAAAGTTAAGCAAATAGCAAGTGAAGGTAGAAAGATGAGCATACCTGAGGTACCCCTTGATGTGTGTTAATATATATAGGCCAGTGAAGATTATCCTCAATCTCGCATTATCCGTGTTATCCTTCTAAAACAAAGCAACCACCTATTTGATTACACATACAATGCATTCTATATTTGACTATATTGCTAATTTTGAAAGATGAGCCTAGGTGCAACCATATGGTTGCAGCCTCGTGATCCCGTGGTTATGGATACTCCTCTACTCAAGGAGGTAAGGCTGTGTTTGATCCTCCACATTTGAAATGCCCTTTTTTCACATTGCTGATTAAGGAGATATTCAACATTATCAAACAAGTGAGCAAATAAAATAACATACTTCAATCCTCATTTTAGGTCTCATTATGCTAGAAAGGATGATTTGCTTCATAAAAATGTCACAGGCCAGACATGTGCCTAGATCGACAAGCCAAAAAGACAAAACTACTTTGGAGAATGTTTCAGCATATGTTGTCTAACCAGATCTATTTTTGTTCCCTACTCAACTGTTCTTCTCATTACCCAAAGCATGCTTTTAACAGATCAACATGAACAAAATAACTGTGACAATGAGGCTGAAGCGGACTTGATTTCAAGATCAACAAAGGTAGTGTATTTTCTCATAATTTATTTCTATTTTGGATCCAAGCCTCATGAAGTGTTCAGCGGTTGGGATAACATTTTTCAACTACAACAATACAGGGTTCATAGTTTTTGATAATTTTCAATTGTCTTCCGCTCAACACTACAAATGCTTTACCACAATGGCCCATTGGAATATTGCAAAAAAAAATAATTATAATTTGCATTTTCCGTTCTGCAAAAGCACTGGAATGTAAATAATAAACAATAATAATCTTTCAGTATTTAGAAAATGTAAGTGAGCTAAAGTCGTACCTCGGAAACTTGAAATATACTTAGAATGGCGATTCCACAGTGGCATGCGATGGAGAGCCATTAGGTATCTTCTTGACTTCAGAGTAGGAGATAACCCAATTGTTCCACAAACAATTTCTTTTCTTTTTCTTTTAGACTTTTAGCAAGAGGACTATTCATTTTTCTTTTTACATATACTTTTTCTTTGACAATGAAAGGTAAATTATATTCCATTGAGATTTTAAAAAAATTAGTTGGCACATCTTTTTATTTTAAATAAATTTCTCTTAATTTATAATAATACTTCTTTATGATAAAAATCTTCCTTAATTTTTTCATATAAATATATAAATTAACAAAAAATAAAACTAATGTGTTTTGAATAAAATTTTGTTAAATTTTAAAATAAATTATGTGATTTATTTTTAATTTTTTACTTTTATAAATAATTATAAAAAATATCATTTTATTTTATTTTAATTTTTTGTTAAATAAAAAATAAAGTAATTTAATTATTTTTATATAATTATTTAAAGATAGAATAAAAAAGAAATAACGCTATAATTTTATTAATTATTTAAAAGAAAAGGAAAGAAAGGAAATATTTTTTTAATTTTACTTCCTTATTTATCTTTAAACTTTTGTGTGAAAAAAGGCGACAAATTTTTATAAAAATGAAGTATCTTTTTTTTTAATAAAATATACTAATAAAAACATTTTATCAAATCTAACAAATTTTTAGATACTTAATCAACTGTTAACTACCATTTTTCAGTATCCACTTATTTAATTAATTAAATTTATAAGCTATAGTAACAAAACATATATATTTTTATCATTAATGTTATAATCAAAACGGTATTTATTTAATTATATGGATCTACAGGTCCCCATAAGAAAACCGAGCAACAGTTTAAAAAAATGTTCATAAACTTGATTCGGTATGATTTTAATTTTAAACAATATTAACTTTTATAAAATCGACTATTCACAATTTTACCAGAACACAATACTGATAATGGTTAATCCACAGATTGAGCAAGAATGAAATTACTTACATTCTCAGTCAAAGTTTGGTTTATATAAACAACTTATAATAACGGTGATTTCACTGTCAAACACTCACGGTCTATCACTATTTGAGAAAAAAAAGAATTATATGAAAAACTATAGTCCGTTGAATAAGACGAAATATTGATTAATGGATTAAAATTATTAAAAGAAAAAAGAGAAGACAAGTGCCAAGTGCCACCTCAGCGGAGCTACCAGTATTAACTGAAACCACTAACTAACTAATGCTATTTGCAGCTTCAGTCTCTGGTGTTGGCTCCTCTTATCTTACCTACGTTTGTCCGTATTTACGGGACACCCAATGGCTCTCTTCAATTTTCATTGTTCGTCCATCTCTCTGCTTTCATGTTCCAAGTGAGCCTTCATTCTTTCATTAATCTCATGGTGTTTATTTTCTCTTTTTCATTCCGCTCTTACCACATGCACGTGTACCTACATGGCTTTATCATGCCTATAGTGTCTTTCATGGGAAACATTGGGATAGTGATTACTAATCCTACGTTAATCTTTGCTGCTAAATGAATTAATTTATTGATAGATTACACTGTATTTTTTGGTGACGCAATATATTACTAATTGTTAAGGTAACAAGTATCAGACAGTCTTACATTAGATATGAACAACGAAATTAAGCAATATTTAAGTGACAATGACCCATGAACTAATCCTTTAAAGTTTTGGGTTGGATCTAGGATTTAAGTCTATTTGTATGATTTGCTCATGGTTGAGTTACAGAATTTAGAGATTGATTTACTTACCAATTTTATAATATAAGAGTGAGTCTAAAACTAGAGCAAATGCCTGTGAATTTCGAAATGCATCGATACTGTTTGAATTTAAGGATTTTGCATTCAGCCTTACTGGCCTTTGATTTGTAGACAGTTTTAATGCATTGTAAATAAATGGCGATTCTTGCATTTTATTGGATGTGGAATAACTTCATAGCAGTGAGTTCATTTGAGAGTGCTATTTTTGGCTCTTCTGTTTAGAACACACAGTGTTGTACGTGGCATGCCTGCACTCAATGCAAATGGTTACAAGTGTGATTTCATGTTGGGTAGTCCCATTAGAAAAATGAGATTTGGTTTGAAGGTTGATAAAGTGAGGGCTGTAATATCTGGAGAAGGAGATCTACTGTCTCATCTCAACAACTATACAAGTCCCCAAAAAGATGTTTTAATAGAGAAACTGACAGAGGAACCAATTAGAATTACACATCAACTTGATACATTTGCTTTTGGAACAGTTTCTGAAGAGATTAATCCTATAATCAATGGCTTCTTTGCTGATAGTAATGAACATCATCTGGATTGTCCTACACAAGGGTTTTCGTCTATCCCAGAGGCCATTGAAGATATTCGTCAGGGAAAGGTTAATCCATGTTTTTTTTAACCTCATCTCTCAACTCGTAGACTAAGTTTCAAGCATAAAAAATAGAAAATTTTTATTGAAAAAAATATTTATTATACTTTTGTATCTTTAATGTAATAAAAATATTTTTTTTAATATGAATTTTATGCTTTTGTATGCTTAAACTCGGTCTTAAGATTAAGGTTAACAAAACCATTTTTTAGAATGTACTCTCTATCCTTCAAGGGTGCGATGTTAAGAAGTTTGCTTATTTGGGACAAATTGCAGTTAGTTGTTGTTGTAGATAATGAAGACAGAGAAAACGAGGGAGACCTAATAATGGCAGCATCAATGGTAACACCACAAGCAATTGCTTTTATTGTCAAGCATGGATCTGGGATAGTGTGTGTAAGCATGAAGGGAGAAGACTTAGAAAGGTTGCAAATCCCATTGATGGTGACACAGAAAAATAACGAAGAAAAACTTTGCACTGCATTCACTGTGACAGTGGTACATACATGGGTGTCTTATTTGTCTCTAAAAGAAAAAACTGGATAATAATCGTTAAAAGAAAATTTTGATTTAAACTCTTGTACGTTAGACCAATATAATTGCATATTATAGGATGCAAAGCGAGGCACTACAACAGGAGTGTCTGCTCAAGATAGAGCAGCAACAATATTGGCACTTGCATCTAGAAATTCAAGGCCTGATGATTTCAATCGCCCAGGTCATATCTTTCCCCTGAAGTACAGAGAAGGAGGAGTTCTTAAAAGAGCTGGACACACAGAAGCTTCAGTTGATCTTGCTGTGTTGGCTGGTTTAGAACCTGCAGCAGTTTTATGTGAAGTAGTAGATGATGATGGTTCAATGGCAAGGTTACCACAGCTTCGACAATTTGCAGCACAAGAAAACTTGAAAATCATATCAATTGCTGATTTAATAAGGTACTTCTTATGAAATAAATCAGCCTTCAATAGAAGACTTTGTTACAGTAGCTACTGATAAAATTGTAGGTCTGCACATATTTCTTTAGCCATGACACAACCTTGTTAATGTTTTTAGACTTAACACTGATCAAATTGCAGTTTGGATGGACCCAAATTTTGATTTTTGAAAGCATGCTATCCCAAGTTATCACATGATAGACTTTATTTTGATTAAGTGCATCTCTAATTTTGCATGGTTTGAACAAGCAGATACAGAAGGAAGAGAGAAAAATTGGTGGAGTGTGCTTCAGCTGCATTGATACCCACCATGTGGGGACCTTTCAAAGCTTATTGTTATCGGTCATGTCTGGATGGGATTGAGCATATTGCAATGGTTAAAGTAAGCATCTCATTAAAAAATTTTGAGTTCTCATGAAACCTGTCTTAGTTTTTTATAGGTAAATCCAACAGTAAACTAATGTTCTTGGGTTAGTGACCACAACAGATTTTGATATTAACAGGGTGAGATAGGTGATGGGCATGACGTACTTGTGAGATTACATTGTGAATGTCTCGTCGGTGACATTTTTGGTGCAACAACGTGTCAATGTGGAAACCACTTAGCACTTGCATTGAAGCAAATTGAAGCGGCAGGTAGGGGTATCTTACTTTATCTCCGCGGTCATGAAGGTAGAGGCATTGGCTTAGGCCACTTTGTTCGTGCTTCTCACTCGGCAGATGACAAGTACGAAAACTATGAAGAATTGAAGTTATCTGGTGATTCTGGTGATTCTAGTGATTATGGTATTGGAGCACAGGTACTATTTTGTTTGCTGTTAACCATATTTTATTTTTACACTTGCATGTCTAGAGATTATTATTCATTGAAAAAGGTTCCTCCACTATACTGTTCACTCGGAAATTTAATCAACAAACAAACTCAATTCCAATTAATCTAGGAAGGAATTTCTTCTTCTTAGGACATATAATATAAAATATACCACTTTTTAAATCGGAATTTGAAACAACACGAAGGAATGAGCTATTTCAAACTTGCAGATTGAAGAAACAGATTTAATCAGTGAACTAAAATTTGAGATCTAGTAATAAATTGACAAGAATCAAGTGTAATGGAACAAAGATTAAAGGAGGATAGCAAAGTAGAGTGTGGCAAATAGAAGTAAATTTCTATTGTAACATATATAACATGACAATAAAAATAAATCGATGCAATGCAAATGAAAACCAAATAACAAGAAAGTAAAAAGTTGTTGAAAATGATAGATTGAATAAAAGGTTTTTAAAATAGTAAATTACACTTCAAAGCAAAAACTAAAGGAAGACAAATGATTAACTTAAAGATTTCAGACAAATAAAAGCATGCAAAAAATTAACAATATCTGATGAAAATATGAAGAAAATTTGCAATGAAATCTAAAAAGAAAATGAACTTTTATTTAAGCTACCAGGGTGGAAGATATATTTAACTAATCTCAGAAGATGAGATGTATAAGTACTTAGATTAAGATCATGATGTCTATCAAGCGGTTTCTGATAACTAGTAATTTGAGATGTATCATTGTACCAATCATATAATTCAATTACTATGGAAACACATTTCCTTTCTCCTATTGAAAGCTCAATTTCCATCCCCATCTTTGGTTAATTCACCGGATCAACTCTGATTGATTCTTACGAGTTTCATTGTAAATTATTGTTTCACTATGGCAGCATAAGATGTTTTTAACTAATTGAATGATACATCTATGACAGATACTACGAGATCTACGAGTTCATACAGTAAGGTTAATGACAAATTATTCTGCTGAGAACGATGGGTTCAAAGGTTATGGCTTAAGAATTGTGGGAACAGTTCCTCTTTTGACATCACTAACTGGACACCACCTAGAGAGATCATGAAATACTTGAAGATTAAACATGTAAAATTGATACGTTTGATTGGTATTTGATTTCAACAATCATATGAATACAGCATTATGACAGAAAATTAAAATAATGGCCAACTGCTCCTCTGGTAGCAGGATGTCTCATACAAGTAGGTCAATTTTGGGTAAATTATTACTTGCAATATATCATATATTATTTAATCTATAAACGTGAAGTGTTGCTGTTATTTCATTACCATTATGAAATGCATACTTGATTTAAGGTATTTTAAAAAAAGGAAAGCCAGTCAAATTCAAGTTCGTTCACTTTACTTATCAAAGTCCAAATTCTAACACAAAAGTATTCTTTTTTTTTTTTTGTTCTCTTTAACTCATGCTCTTAAATTCTTAAATTTTTATTTTATCAGCCTCAGCCGCTTGATATTTCGCTTTGACACGTTCATCAGGTGACCTTAGCCATTACAAAAATAAAAAATTTATTTATCGTTGTTAAGTGTCTTGAAGTTAATTTGGATTTTATTTAACTGTTATTTTCTTTATAAAACCAAACAACATAGGGTTGTGTGTCTAAAAAATTATAGGAGTAGTTTGACAAAAGATTATACTTAAAAGGCTAATAAAGTATATTTTACAGTGAATGATAGGTGGGGTGATTACATCGAAGGTCATTGGGATTTTTGGTGTATCTAATACGATTAAGTTCTTGTCCATATTATGCAAGCAAAAGAGGGTGTTGGGCCACGAAAGGTAGTGAAAGTGATCACAAATAATGCACTTTTTGTAAAATAGTTATATATTGTTTTTATGTGATGTAAAATAGCTATATTAACTATTGAAGATAAATAAAAAAATATTTTTGAACCCCCAGATATTTTTTTTTGGAAAGATATTTACAGTAAACTTCACTGGATCTCTTTGACTAGTGATGATGCGATTTTTCAATAGGGTTTTCATCTTATACCGCTCCATGAAGCTAAGCATGTTTGAGCATCTGATCACTCCACCCATTTGCCTTGTATATATACCATTCAATATTTTAATATCCAATTATAATCCCCAATTAACTAGAAACTAGATATTTATGCTGTTCATTATATTCTTCTACAAAAGCTTCCTCACAAAAATCCTTTAAATTATCATGTGAGAGTGGAAAATAGAAACTACGTGTAAGTTTACTCTAGTTTTATAAGTCGTAACCGAGATGACGAAGGAATTATGTGACTGAGGAGTCAATTAATAGATTATAATTGGTCAAATTAGTAAAATATCTACAAAATACATATGATCTTTACTCGCTATTTTAAAAAAATTGAAATATATATTTTTTTAAAATGCTCAATTTAATAGATAAATACATTTTTTTATTCGTGAGTTAAAAAAATGTTTAAAAAGAGTACTCTGATAACAATTTTTACTGCATGGATTACAAGAAGACAAATTTTATGGTACTCATAAAATTTTTTAAGGTACTATAATAAATAATATTTAGATATATATTTAAATAATAAATTTATTTAAATAAATTATTATATTTGTTACATTTGAATAAGTTGAAGAATATTTAAATCAAAACTAAACAAATTAAAATTTAAAAATAAAATAATAATATTATATTAATATATTTTTTATATTCTTATTTTTATAAAAATTACTTACATATGAATTATATTTATTTAAAACTAAAAATTTATAAAAAATAAAATAAAAAATTTAATATACTATATATATATAAAATAAAATCCTATAACAATAATATAAATAATATAATTTTAAATAAATTATATATATATAATAATAATTTTTTTAACTTAGACACGTTTTTTTTATTAGTATAATTTTTTTTAATATGATACCTGTAAAAAAAAAAGTTTTAGAATACTACACCACGCACCTAACAATAATCTTATAAGCCTTACCGTCATTTAAGCAAACGCGGAAACCCATAAGAAAAGTTCATTGACTTGGATGGAAGCATGAAAAGGAAGGAACTGAGTAAATTCCAAGTCTCCAATAGAAAACGAAATGGTCCCATCAAAGAAGAAGCCTTAAACATGCCCAAAACTCTGCTCTGTTACTTCTCCAATTAATCATGGAATACAACTTCAACAACATCTCCTCAGAATAACATTTCACCCCTTCTTCCTCTCTTCCCTTAATTAATGGCTTCTCAACCCAAAAAACCGCTACCTCAGCCCCTTAACCAGCATCATGATACCCCAACACCTTCCCCTCATCGTTCACCCGTTACATCACTTCCTGTCCCAGTCCCCCGTCTACCTTCCCTAAAAGATGATCATAGCAATATTCTTCGACTCATTATGATTGTCATGGCATGCATGTTTGGCGTTGTCATGTTCCTATGCACCGTCTCCATAATCATAAAGCGCTATTACTCAAGGAGACACAACAATAACCGTAACGGTAACCGAAACAGAACAGAGTCGCCCATATTGTTCGATGTTAACGAGGGTTCTTTTTCAGACAATGATGACAACGACGAGCGTGGTGATGTCATGCACCCCATATGGTTCATACGCACGGAGGGTCTCCAACAATCGTTCATAGATTCCATCACTGTCTTCAAATACGGAAAACACGAAGGACTCATAGATGGAACAGATTGCTCTGTTTGCTTAGGTGAGTTCCAACATGGCGAGAGTCTCAGACTCTTACCCAAGTGTAACCACGCTTTTCACATCCCTTGCATTGACACGTGGCTTAGGTCACATAAAAATTGCCCCTTGTGCCGTGCACCTGTGGTGAGACCCACTGATCAGAATCATAATCATAATGACGATCACAATCACACAGATACAAACGTTTTTTATGATAATCAAGAGACCCATGTGGAGAATTCTGAAGGAGAAAGTGATAGTAGTGGAATCAGGAGTGAAATTGAAGGTGAAGATGGTTGTGGGGTGTCGTCTAGTGGAATCAAAGATAAAGTGGAAGGGGAAATAGAGCCTCTGAGGAGGTCGGTTTCAATGGATTCATGTTCTGGTTCACTGATATTTTGTGATGTGGCGGTGGTGGAGGATTTGAATTGCCTTGAAAAAGTGAATTGTAGTAGTAGCAAGGGTGCTATTAACAGTTCAACGAGAGTTTGCAAGGTGGGTTCAATTGGACAAAAGAGACCGGTCTCAATGAGAAGATCGTTTTCACAAAACAGGAAATTTGTGTTTTCTAGACACTGTAGGAGCCAGAGTTCAACTCTTCCTTTGTAAACTAAGAGAGTGATGTGGTAAGGTCAAGTTAGAAGATGAAGGGCTATTGTTGATGGAGGCAGTGATCTATATATCTCTGTGATTCCCTTCCTTCAAGAAAAAACCTATGTTTCAGATACTAGTATGCTTAATGTATATAGTAATACCATTCCACAAAACTTTTTGAGTAGTTCCGATCGTTTAGTTTCTGTTTCTATGTGACCTTGCTGCGATTTACAGTTTCTCTTTCGTTATTCTATATATCTTCTTCATTTTGCAACATTATTGCATCCGTTCTGTAAACTTCTATGAAGCATGTTTTTGGAATGGATTTGGATCGCCACCGCTTCATCTTCATGCGTCTCTTTCTTAGAATTACCCGTCGACCGCACATTTCTTCAGTCTTTTCGCTTCAAAATGTCTATTATTACATTTAATTTATAATTTTTTATTTTTATATTGTTATTGTCATTATTGTTTTGAATCTAAATCAGCATATTTATTGAAATTTGAACTTGTTATTATTATTTTAATTAACTAATAAATATTATTTTATGTAAACAATTATAGTTAAACAAGTGTGACAATAAATATTTTAAACATTTTTTTAGTTGATATATTTTTGTGAGATTTTAATTTTATTTTTAAATATTTTTTAAAAAGTATCTTCTTTATTGTAGCGACGATGACGTGACTAACATGAAGGTTATGCTTTGTTAGATTCTTTTATTATGTGATGTTGTTACTAAGAACAATGTTCAATTCTTTTTTTAAATATATAATAAAAAATAAGTAAGAAAATAAAATTAAAATTTATGACAGAATTTAAAATATTTTTTAAGCATTTTTTATAAGAAAGAGATTAAAAAAAAAGGGAGAAAGAGACATGCAATAAAATGAATAATAAGATGAAGAGAAGAAGAAAAATCTCTCCTTTTATAAATCTCCAATCATTTTTAAAATTAATAAGTACTCTAACATACATGTTTAGTTGATAAAATATAGCGTAGAAGGATGAACTTTTATAATTTTTTCTCACTTAATTCAAAACTTGGTAAGAGAGAAAAGAAATAAGGAGGATGAATTTTCATTGTTCTATCTCCTTTGATATTGATTTATATAAAATAAAAATAATTTATAATATTTTAATTGTGATATCTATATTATCTCTTGATATTATTTTTCTTCCTTTTTTCATTAATATTTACAGGAATGTAATAGTATATTATTTTTAATATATATTAACTGTGAATATATATATATATATATATTATGTTCTGTTTTATTGTATATTTTTTGTATTTTATATTAAAATGGTTTTTAATAAAATGTTGATCGAAGGAAATAAATAATGAAAGTGTTCTTTGGCATGATCAGAACACATGGTTCTATGGTGTAGTGGTTAGCACTCTGGACTTTGAATCCAGCGACCTGGGTTCGACTCCCGGTAGGGCCTTTTAAATATTTTATATTTTCTCACTTGAAGTTCTCTCAAGAAAAGGCTTAACTAAAATCTGAATTCAATGATGTTTTTTTCTGTTACATAGCCTAAATTAGTACATGAAAGAAATCAATATTGTTGAGTAGCTAAGAATTGTATAGTTAAATGAACAATTTTTAATTAGTATTTAATTTTTTTTTTAAAATCTTAAAATATTGTGATTGGTTTAATCTTTAGATAAAATTGAGTACTTGAGAAATGTGACTTTTAAAACAACTCAAAATATGATATTTTTAACAAAAATTAAAGTTTTTCTTGTAAATTTTTTAATACTTCTTGAGTTTGAATCTACTTTTTAATAAAGAGTGAGACTCTTTTTCTAACTCTCTAAAACTCTTTGAAATGTAGTTTATTCAATATGAGAAAAATTACATTTTAAATACTCTCAAAATTCTTCAAAGATTAAAATCTTTAAGATAAATTTATGACTTAAATAATTTTTTAAGTCTTTAATTTGTCAGTGTGAAAGCCTAAAATCCTTAATTTAATAAAGTCTTTATAACTTAGAAGTCCATCAATCATATTAATAGTGAATTTTTATGAAGTGAATCTTTTTCAATGTGAATCGAAGGACAACCTTGCAAATATCCTAGCTCTAAGATTTTCTCTAAAATATATATAACTTTTTGAAGACAAAGCTTAATGCATTCTTTAGATAAATGGAATAAAATAAAAAGAAATGAAATAAAAGTGAATTTTAAGTGAAATAAATTGTGTGGCAGAAATATGAGTAAAATGTGAAAATAAAAGATCTTAATATCCTTATAAAAAGTTGTATTTAAAGCTTTTTGATAAGGGTAAAAGGGAAACGATAACAATAATTTCATTGTTTAGGTAAGAAATGCACAGTTGTAAGACCCACTGAAATTAACCAATTTGATCCCATTCTTCACCTCAACCAAACCATTGAAATGCATCAATTTCATTCCTTCAAATTTCAATTACTCGGATTTCAGAAAAAGCAAACAAGGTGGGAGTAGTCGACATCAAGACTTTTGGTCAAAATTGTTAGTTGTATTACTTTTGGTCTAAACCAATTTTTCTTTATCCGTAGATTTTAGTAGTTATAAATGAATGGTGGTCCTAGTTTTGTATCCATGCGTGTTTGATTTTTTTTTTTAAATATTTTTTATTTTGTAAATTTTTAAAGGGCTTTTAGAAGAAAATAAAATAAAAAATTAAGGTTATATTAATTTATCATTATATTTATTTAATTTTAAAAGATTATCAAACTCAAGAAAATAATTATTAAAAATGAAAAAAAAATCTCACTTCTCCTCTTCTCTAAAACTTAATTTCTAAAAGATATTCTAAATTTATGTTAATATATAATTTTATTTATTTTATTTAGAATAATTATTAGAATAAATATTTTGTAGCTTTGAATGTGGAAGGGGTTAAGTTTGTTTGTGGCGGTATCCTTTTGATATTTTTTAAAGGTGTTCGATTTTGGAGATGCAGGTATATGACAAGGGCACTTGGTTTGTCTCTTACAAAGATGTTCCTAAGTTCTGTAGAAGCGTAATTCTTCCAGTATGTTTCCTTCTGGTAGAGGCCAACAGGATCCTATTGATAGTAGTTGCAATGTTGGCATAGGAGATGACATTAGTAGTGGTGTTAATGGAAATGTTGGAGATGAGAGTCACGCAGTAGAGAATCCTGTGACGACTGGGTCTGCTGAGGAAGTTTCTGATTTCCCTGCAAAATAATTTATTATAGTTATTTTGATTTAAGATAATTTTTTGAAAGATATACCTAAAAGATTGACAACTATAATAAACATGTATGTAATCATTAATTTGAATAAGCAAGTAAACATAAGTACTTAGGATTTAAGAAAAAAAAACTGAAAATAAAAGTAAAACTTTTGAAAGAAATTAATTTGACCACGTAAGTAACTAACACGTAGGACAAAAAAACTAAATACAATTGTTTTAAAAATAAAAGTGATAAAATTTGAGAAAAAACTAAAAAAATTAAAAGTAGTGACCACTAATTTAAATATTTAATATTTATTTAAAAATATAAAAATATTAAATAATTGTAAAATCATGCATTATAAAATAATACAATGAAAAAAATGCTTTAACTACAAAATAGAAATCATATTATGTGAGGATGAATGAAAAACATTAACATATACTTCTTAAAATTATATTGATTATTTCACAAGTATATCTAAATGAATCAAGCTCACATACTTTAATGGACTTAAAAAAATTTGTCACTAAATAACAATCAAAATCTGTAAATTAAGTATAATGATAGTATAGTGACGTGTTTCTATTCGTTGCATTTTAGTTAGGTTTTGAGATACAAAAATTTAATTAGTGAGATAAGGTAATCGTGAAACTTGTATGAAATCCAAATAGTCTTACGAAGGAGTTACAACACACAACAAGCGGTGGAAGATCATAACACAGAAAACGTTTGGAAGATTCCAAATCAGAATCCTATCATTTTTCATTTCCTAATACTCATTATCCTCTTTCGATTTCTAAGAGCAATTCAAATCACACGTACAATGTGACTGTTACAATCATTCAAATCATATTGCGTAACAGAGCTTCTCTTTACAGAGTATCTTAACCAAATTATAGATTGCACAAAAAACGTGGTAACAGGTAATATGTTAATATATATACATGAAGCTTGCCTTTTTATATTACTTCATTTTTCAATTCATCTCTCTTAATTCTCAATGTCTGCGCGCACCATAAATTCTCACTGGTTACTTGTCTGCTCCGTGTGTACTGGATCTCCGAGGAAATATTTGACTGTACTTCCAGCCTCCCCCGAGCCACCCGATTTAAAGGACTTTCCCTTGGGCTATTATGATGATGGAATAGCGGTTCCGATCGGAGTTGCGCTCAGTCACCCTGAAGGGAGGACTCAAAGCCGGATCACAAGCTTGGTTATTTCACTGGATCTCGGAAGTACCAACCATTACGTCCCATCACTGTCGCTAACCGAAGCCTAAACAAGAGTGGATTTTTCACTCCAGTGATGACACATGGAGCGTCTAGATCATTTTCGTGGCAGATATGAGTTCAATTCATTTATCTATAAACAAGATAAGCACGCCCTTCCCACTGAGAAAGCCCGGTTGATTGGGACTTAGAAAAAGGTTCATTTTCGACTCGTGTAATGACATAACATAAGGGATTTACGTTTGGGTCGTGTGTTGTGTGCTTTTGCTTTAGTCCTTTTCCTTTTCTTGCTCTGTAACTAGGGATTCATTAAGATCTAATATGGAGGAGAGGAAATACGACCAGGTCACTGAATTCTTTCTTGAAGGAAAGGGAATGTATAATAGCCGGCGGGCTTCATTGCTTTCCTTCTCTGTCTGGCTGTTTAGTAGGAGTCGCTAACGAGTGAATGTGTATCCGGCCGACTCGGATTTCCGTATTATTGTTCTTTGTCTAAGTTCTATTTCTTTCTTGCTTTCAATGTGTCCCTCAGTTAGTGCAGTTGCTGGCCTTTTCTCGCCTTGAGTTGACTGAGACTGAGAGTCAGGGTGCAGGGGATGTGGCTAGTCTTTGACTAAGGTTGATTGCTCTTTCTCTGGTTCTTGAAAGAGTCTTTGTCTTGCAGGAGTGATGTCAAACCTATTGCTTGACTTGTCTGTATTTTGAGTATGGTAAGGGGTGGAAGTCGTGTAAGCGGCTTCTTCCGAATTTGCCTGTACTCTGGGTCTAGTACGTATGAAAAGATGTCAGCTAAGTGGCGATTTCTTTTCCTGGTGGAGAAGGATTCGATTCCCGAGCGGCTAAGGTCCAATCCGCTATTCTATTCCGTCTGTGCGAGCATTCATTACATTGCCTACGTCTAGCTGTGTATTCGAA